AAGAGAAAAATAACTGGTGTGGGAATAGGTTTTCAAGCCTCTACCTCTCTATTATCATTGCTATATTACTGGTTTGGTAATATTCTATTTGTTCAGTATAACCAAGAACAATAGCTATCAGGTCTGCGAGATGATTATTAGCCACCGGGAAGAGTGTGGTTAACTTAATTGTCCATTTGCTTTGCAGTTGGAATCAGAATTTGAATTGGAATTAAAATCTTTTGGAATTGAAATCAGAATGGTTCATTCCCATAGTTTGTTTGGTTCAGACAAGAATGAGAACGGGAATAGGAACCGGGATCACCAAGAGTGAGATTTCATTCTCAAGGGAGTTAATTTTTGGTATTTTCATAATTTTCAATAATTTCTAGCTTGGGTAATTTTTTTTTTAATTTTTGGTATTTTTAATAATAAAATACAATTAGTTATACTTTTTAATATAAAATATTGTTAATTTTTAATATTCTTAATTATTTTTAGTATTTTAATTATGTTTAGGTTTTCTAAAAATTTTTGGAAATTTAATTAATTGTTGGTATTTAAAACTATCAATTAATATTTTTTATTAGCGTTTATTAAGGTCACAACTCATAAGTTATCTATAATTTTATTAAAACTATCAATTAATATTTTTATATTTAAATTTCTTATTTTTATTACTGTTTATTAAGTGGAATTGAAACACATTTTTAATATTTACTAAGTTTTGTTAATATTTATTTTTAGTGAAAGTTTAGTGGATTTTTAAATTAATAATTTTTTGATTGTTTAACCTCAACTTCTTTATATTATTTGATTTATATCATGGTTTTCAAAATCGGACCGAGTTGGAAAAATCAGGAACTGGTCAGGTGATCGGTTCCGTTTTACCCCAAAACCGTTATTTCGCCAAAAATCGTTGATATGGTTAGCAAACCGCTGACCCGGGTGGGCAAACCGTTTAAATCATCCAATGGTTTTGGCCGTTTTTATTTTTTTAATTTTTTTGTTAGAATGGGACGTCTATTCGGTTCAAATGGTCAGACCGTTTGACCTAGGAACCGAGCCTCTAACCGATTCATTGTCAACAAGCCACTGACAATTATTTCGGTTCCATTTTACCCCAGAACCGTTATTTCGCCAAAAATTGATGATTTGGCCAAAAATCGTTGATTTGGTTAGCAAACCGCTAACCCCGGGTGGTTAAACCGTTTAAATCATCCAATGGTTTTGGCCATTTTTAATTTTTTTTTGTTAGAATGGGACGTCCGTTCAGTTCAAATGGTCGGACTGTTTAACCTAGGAACCGGACCTCTAACCAATTCATTGTCTGGTTCGGTTTTAAAAACCTTGATTTATATTATTACTATTCTCTCTCTCTATCTTGAATGTAATAATAACCTGCATTAAAATAAGAATCATTGGATAACCCAAAGGTCTCTCTCTCTTAAATGTATTTTTTAAATATAATAAGAACATGCAAGAAGCCTTGGAAAACTAAAAGCTATCTAATATTTAATAATCTAATCAAGATAAGCAATGATTACTGTTTTATATTTTTAAAACAAAAGAAAATTAGAAAAAATGCAAAAAATGGAGAAAATAGATAAATAATTTCTCTCAAAGGAGAGATATGTGTGTGTGTGTGTGTGTATTTTTAAGTGGGACTGAAACACTTTTAATATTTTCTAAGTTTTGTTAATATTTTTTGTTTGTTTAACCTCAACCTATTTATATTATTACTACTCTCTCTCTCTCTTAAATGTAATAATAACATGCATTAAAATAAGAGGCCTTGGAAAACTCAAAGGTCTATTTAATAGTGTGCAACTTTATTAATCTAATCAAGATAAGCAATGATTATTGTTTTATATTTTAAAACAAAAGAAAATAGAAAAAATGCAAAAAAAATGGAGAAAAGAGAGACATGTTGATAAGGGCAATTTTATTATAAAAGAGACATGCTGACATGGACAGACCAATTTTAATATATACTACCGGGGACTCATGTGGTGCATGGAAAAATCTAGAAGATTTAAGGGATTATAGCTGATAAGGGCAACTTTTGGGCCCTAATATCTATAAAATAATATTTCTAATATAATTTCTAAAATAGATTAGCTTTTTAAAAAAATATATCAAATAAGGGCAAAAACACTATTCATCTTTTTTCTCTTCCAAACCAATTCCGCCCCAGCCCAGCCTTGCAAACCTCAATGACCACCATCCTCCTGCACTGCTTCTGGCTACGCTTTCGCCCACCTCGGACAACGCCAACAGTGACCTCATGTCGTCTGATTGGTGTTGCCAGAGGTGGAGGCGACAGAGGCGGGGACATTGGTGGATGGTAGTCATTGAGATTTGCAGGGTTGGGGTGGAGGTGGGCGGAGGGGGCGTTGCTAGAGGTGGGCAGAGGCGACGACGCTGGTGGATGGTAGTCATTGAGATTCACAGACCTGAGGCGGAGGTGGGTGGAGGGAGAAGCGGCGGACCAAGCCAAGGTGTAAATCGGGTTGTGCTGGGCCAAACCTTGGGCCAGACCATGCTGCAGACTGGGCCAAGCTATGAGAGGTCCATTTAAAAAAAATTGAAAAAGATGTTTAAATTTTTATTTCATATGATTTTTTATGTATACAATTGTTTCTATATACAATTAGACATATTCATGGGCCAGGTAGCCCGATGGCTCGGCCCGACTTGACCCGTTATTTTTCAAGCTTGGACAAAATTTAAGGCTTATGGGCTCGAGCTTAGGCTTTCTCAAATAAGCCCGGCCTGATACTATTACATATAAAAAAGTACTTATGTTATATATATCAAATATAATAAATATAGTAAATAATATATATATATATATATATATATTCTTCTTAAATTATTAATAAATATCAATTTACTATTAGGAAATATAAATTAGTTTATTAATTTATTACTAAATTAATATAATATTAGTTTATAAAACAATACTGAAAATAAGACATTTTGCGTACAGATTGGGCTTCGGGCTCGAGCTTCAGACTCTATATAAGGGCTGGTCTCGGGCTCAAGATCTAGGCCCGCTGGTCGGGCCGGGCTTGGGCTCGAGCTTGCACATTTTCTGTTGATAAAGAGGCCTATGTAAATTATAAAACTATGATTTTTTATAAATTAAAATTTTTATAATTCTAGTCTAGTATAAAAAAATATAACATTTCTATGTATATTAATATAAAATTTGTTATTTAAATATTATATAATAATATTTACCATATATGCATATAACTTCAAAGTTGAGCTTATTAGGGGTTGTTTTGTTGGGTCCTATCCTCTAAAGCCATCATTGGACTCTAAAAGTTTGATACTCAATTAGACTTCGGATCTGATTATCCTTGATAATGTGTGGGCATGGTGCATATCTTAGTTAGACCTAACTCAAAAGAAAATAGTTGCTACAGCCTACAAATTTATAGGTCTAATCGAGTTAGGTTAAATTATAAATGACTTGTTACTTTTATTATTAATTATTAAAGTATTGTATTTATTAAAATATAGTAATTTCTAGAAATTATCATATTTTTAGAAATATTGCTAATTTATTGGCTAAAATTAATTAAATATAATTTTCTACTATTTATAGCTTAAATTATAATTACTATTAATTACAGTTTAAAAATAATAATTATTAATTATATTACTATTAATAATTAAAACGCATTATTTTTCTCAATATAACTCAGTATTTTTTGTAATAAAATACATTATTTTTAATTAATTTTACTATTTTAATTAAGCTTTAGTTTTTTTTTCAAAATTTTCGGATTTTTAACTAATTTTTGGTGTTTTTTCATTATTATCTAGTAAATTTTGCATATGAGTATTTTTCAATAATTTTAAGTATTTTCATCATTTATTTTTGCATATTAGTCACTACAAAACTAATTTACATTTGCCTTCAGTAAAAATAAATTAAATAACTAAATAAATACCAAAGTTAATAAAAAATAAAACTAATTTTCAGTATTTTTCAATCATTTATATATTGGGTATTTTTTAATAATTTTTGGTATTTTTAATAATAAAATACTATTAATTATACTTTTTAATATAAAATATTGTTAATTTTCAATATTTTTAATTATTTTTAGTATTTTAATTATGTTTAGGTTTTACAAATTTTTTTGGATTTTTAATTAACTGTTGGTATTTTGAAACTATTAATTAATATTTTTTATTAACGTTTATTAAGGTCTCAACTCATAAGTTATCTAATAATATTATTAAAATTTTCAATTAATATTTTTTATATTTAAATTTCTTATTTTTGTTAGCATTTATTAAGTGGAATTGAAACACATTTTTAATATTTATTTTTAGTGATAGTTTAGTGGATTTTTAAATTAATAATTTTTTGATTGTTTAACCTCAAACTATTTATATTATTTGATTTATATCATGGTTTTCAAAATCGGACCGAACCGAAAGAAGTGGGAACTGGTTAGGTGACCGATTCCGATTTACCCCAGAACCGTTATTTTGCCCAAAACTGTTGATTTGGTCAACAAACCGCTGACTCGGGCGGTCAAACTGTTTGAATTGTCCAATGGTTTTAATTTTTTTATTTTTTGTAAGAATGGGCCTTCCGTTTGACCCGGAAACTGGACCTTTGATCGGTTTATTGTCCGGACCAGTTTTAAAAACCTTGATTTATATTATTACTATTATCTCTCTCTTCTCTTAAATGTAATAATAAGATGCATTAAAATAAGTGGCATTGAAAAACCAAATGGTCACTTTCTCTACTCCGCATTTGTTGGCCATAAAAACGCTATCCGTGTCTATCTATCGATGAGATATTCACGTGTTATGTGGGTGGCCAGGTGGGCCAGGGGAGACCACGGTTCGTTTGGACTTTTGAGTGGCTCTCCCCTCTTAATCAAGTTGACAACTTGACATATTGATCGATGTGGACAAATAGCAAGTCGTATGCTTTCGTCCTTCCTTGAAGTAGCCAAAACAGAAATGGCTTCCTTCATTACTTGTGCTTGTATAAATTTTACAGATGGAAGTAGAGACTGATGATCATCTGTATATAAACAGGAAATGGCGTGTGGATAGATTGCAAAATTTTACAACTTTTACTACCTAGGAATTAGAGGTAGAGATGGCTAGTAGTGTTCCCATGGTGGCCCTCAGCTCTGGTTACCTGATGCCGCTCGTGGGTATGGGCACGGCAAGTTATCCCTTTGATGCTTCCGAAGCATCCAAGTTGCCCATACTCCGCGCAATCCAGTTAGGTTACAGACACTTCGATACGGCTGCCCTTTACCAGAGCGAGCAACACTTGGGTAAAGCTATAGCCGAAGCTATTAGCCTTGGCCTCATTCAATCTCGAGATGAACTCTTCATTACCTCCAAATTATGGTGCAGCGATGCTCATCATCATCTTGTTCTCCCCGCCCTTCGCGAAACTCTACAGTAAGATAGATCTCAACATAAAATCAATTACCAGCGGCAGCTGAACTCGTTCATCTTAATTTATTGTTATTGTTTACAGGAAGCTCCAGTTGGAGTACCTTGACCTCTATCTCATTCATTTCCCAGTAAGCATGAAGCCGACCGGGAATTTGGAAATCCCACCGCAGAAGGAGGTAATTGTTGCAATGGATGTAAAATCTGTATGGGCAGCCATGGAAGAGTGCCAAAGGCTTGGCCTCACAAAGTCCATTGGAGTTAGCAACTTCTCTTGCAAGAAACTTGAAAATTTGCTCGCCATCGCAAAGATCCCTCCTGCAGTCAATCAAGTGAGTGATATAGCTAGGTCTCCTTTTTGCTGATTTTTAAAGGTGATTTCTGATTTGATCCCATCATCAATGACTATATATATGCAAGGTGGAAATGAACCCTCTTTGGCAACAAAAGAAGCTGAGAGATTTCTGCATGGACAGAGGGATAGTTGTGGTCGCTTATTCTCCTCTGGGAGCCAAAGGAACTATTTGGGGCAGCAACCGAGTGATGGAGTGTGAATTGCTCCTTGAGATTGCCAGAGAAAGAAGAAAGTCTGTCGCCCAGGTCTAACACTTTTGCTTCTTTAATTCAACTAATTGTTTTTCTTTCCCCTTCTGTTCTGTTTTGGCCCTCAATTACAGTGATAACACTGCATTAATTATCCACCCCACCTAAACCTTCGTCTAGTAGTTACTTGTGATGGTTGAGAAACAAATAAGACGCCGCTGATGCTGGAATGGTTTCAAGTGGTGAATTGCAGATCTGTCTGAGATGGGTATACGAGCAAGGGGTGGGTTTGTTGGTGAAAACCTCCAACGAGGAGAGGCTGAAGGAGAACCTGGATATTTTCAATTGGGCGTTGAGCGATGAAGAATCTGAGAAGATCAATCAGATCGCACAGAGTAGAGGATTCGATGGGGATACGTTTATCTCAGCAAATGGGCCCTTTAAATCCGTAGAGGAGTTCTGGGATGGTGAGGTGTAAAGAGTGAGACCAGATCTGTTCCTCACATGTATATGTATGTTCTAGCGGTATGAATGCCATAAGCATTTGCATTTCCAAATCGGTCATAATTACAGCACAGTGCGAAGTTCCTTCAATTTTGCACTGGTATATGTATTTGTCCTGTTTAGATGGGATAGGTGCAAATCGCAGTACAAGTTTAATGTTATTTCGTATTTGTTTCGCAGACATAAAAAGATATAATAGAAATCTACATCTTTTTTCTAGTCTTATTGATCAAAAGATTTTGCAACCATTTTGAAGCCATGCAATCGGTGAAAAGTTGGTAACTATTTTTTCAAAGAAAATTTTGCACCCATTTTAATTGCAAATATTATGGTACGTAATTGGCTGCAAATTTCCCTTCATTTATAGGGTTGCAAGTCGGGCCTGGTTAAGTTGGGTTAAGGCCAATCCTAACCCAATCCTAAGTTCTAAACCCCCAACCCAAAGTCAACTTCGGGTTGGACCCAACTCAACCTTCTTCCCATCCCTTAAAATCTCGTAAAATTTCTTAATCTTAGGTCTTAACTCAACTTTCATTACATATATTAATTTTATGTTTTATTAGTATTTGTTTGTTGATATTTTTATTGGTTCTTTAAGTATAAAATTCAGAAAACAAAAGTATTTGAAATGACTATAATTTATTATAATGACTTGTAATAGATCTTTTATGGGCAGCAAGATATGGGTGGCAAACAATAGAGAGGAAATCAAGAATAAAATTTTCATAAAACATAAAATATGTTATCAAGGTTTTAGTATTTCCAATTATGATTAAGTAAAGTGATTATTTTAAATGAAATAAATGATAGTATGTGGTGGTGGCTATACGATTATCATGTATCCAAATAAATTAATGTATGAGATAATCATAAAGCTAACCCTAACCCGAGCATCAACTAGATCTGAAGTAATGTCATGTTCATAAATTTCAACCCTAAACCTAAATTTCAACTAGAGTCATGATCATCCTCTCTGTTCGAGGACTCATATTTCACAAATCAGTTAGACAAACCAGATCTCCACCGTTCAGATTTAATAACCTTAAATTGCGAACATGTCTGCAAAAGGTCAATCGGACCATAAACGACATTCGATCGAAGCACAAGATGAAAAACTGCGCAGACTGGAATTTCAAGAATCCATTCCTTTTCTCTCTCCGTTTTTGCACGGGATTCTCTTCCTTTTTCTTTTCTTCTTCTCTCAATCTTTTTGGCAACCAACACCACTAAAAGGTTATTTCATTTTCCTATTTTCATTTGAACAAGAATACCCTCATCCATGGGCTAAAAAATACCACATGAGCTTCTTGGGCCATCCTCCACATAAGAGGGAAACCCAACAGATATAAGCCGTTCCAAACGCTACCTTCGTGGCTCAATTGTTGTATTAGTATAGGTAATCAAGGAGATGAGTTACAACAATTTAATCTGAGAGATTTTCTGTGTTTAGTTACCTGTCAAGCTGTGCATGGATAAGAAAGCTCTAATCCGATTTATTACTTACGTGGGACTTCTACAATGCATGCGCGACTTAGGCTGTACTGGGCTGGGCGTGGGTCCATTATCCTCAACTCAACAGAAATTTCAACCCAAACACAACCTGATAGTTTAATTGCTCAACTTCTCTAGTAATGGGCTCACAAGTTTAAAATTGCTCTATAGATCATGGTTTTCAAAACCGGACCAGATCGGACGTTCGGACTGAAAAAATTAGGAATTAGTCACTTCCATTTTACTTCAAAACTGTCTTTTGGCCAAAAATCATTGATTCGGTAAGCAAATTGTTGATCTGGGGCGGTTGAATCGTTCAAATCATTCAATAATTTTTAGCCATTTTTTATTTTTTTGTCAGAACAAACCTCCGTTCGGTTTGAATGATTAGACCGTTCAACCCAAGAACTGGACCCTTGAATGCTTCATTGTCTAGTTTGGTTTTAAAAACCTTGCTATTGATTTCAAAATAAATGACTAAGGATCGGTTCATATCTGGAATTGGAATCGGAATAGTTTATTCCCTAATCTGTTTGGTTCAGATAGGAATGATAATGAAAAAAATCAAAATCAACATGAATGGGATTTCATTCCTAAGAGAAGAGCAGGGAATGACTATTCTCACATTTGAGGGAATGGCCATTCCAGCAAGAATGAAAATGGGATTCTGATTCCGCTCAATCAAATAATTGAAATCAAAATAATCCATTCCAATTCCAATTTCAAATCCTTATTCCTGTAAACCAACTGGGACCTAAATAAATGTGAAGTCACTCAAACCTGAACATGACCAGACGAGACTAAATAAAATTTGATAAATCTGATCTATCCCAGATCACGAATAATATCCTTTTGCTGTATTTGGTTTGAGAAAAACAGAGAGTTGGAAAAGGTTCACAATTAATTTCAAAAAAACTTTTCCACTAATCTCTCATTTCTTATTTTCTATTAAATCACAATAGTCTTACTATGTTAATTAGTTAAATTGGAAATGCCTGACTTCAATCTGATTCCAATCGAAAATCCGATTAAAGCCAACGCAATCATGACGTGATAGGGTTCATTAAAGTGGGTTGTAACCGGCCCATTGCAATATTAGCTAGTTAATGAGCCAAGTGCTTGTTCCTGCTGATATGCAAATCATGGTTTTCAAAATCGGATCGAACCAGATGGTCGAACTAAAAAAACTAGAAATCAATTAGGTGATTAGTTCTGTTTTTTTTTTCTACAAGCAGATTTTTATTAAAAAAACGTTAATTTAATCAATAAACTGCTGATCCAAGCAATTGAATTATTCAAACCTTTCATTGGTTTTGACCTTTTTTTATTTTTTATTTTTTCTCAGAATGGATCGACCATTCAACCTGGGAGCTAGACCTCTGATCAATTCGTTATCCGGAACAATTTTAAAAACCTTGATGCAAACAACCTACGTACATACTTCAAAGAGTCCAAGAAATAGAGCATGTAGTCAAGTAATGCACTTTCGGTGGACCTTCTGCATTCTTTGATTTATGTTTTAGCACTTGATATCCTGATTTACTGCTGTTCAGAGTCTTGTACTTAGGATGATCCATTATTGAATGGATATCCTAGATCGGCCACGTCGAAGTGTATACTTTTATTAAGCAAGGATTAATTGAACAAACGGAATCGGATGCAATAGAGACTAAATCAGCCCCCACAATATTGTTCCTCATAACGTCCCACGGCACATTCCGGCCGTGTATTGGTAAGATTTCCCGATGGTAATTCCATGTAAATATCGGGAGATGTGCCGTAATGTATTATGATGACGTCTATAATATAATAAAGACGTTCAATGAATACCTAAACAAGTGTTTCAAGCCTAAGCGAGGGTAATGGTTGCCAGAATATTCTGACAATATAGTACAATATTTCAAGGAGTCGGCGTTCTGTGCACTGGACGCATGAACCCGCCAATCACACACACATGTTGGCGTGTTTAAAATTTATTAACTTTAACGGACGTTAGTTAAAGAATCCAGTTGAACGGACACAAAAACATAAGAAGAAGAATTAAAACCAACGCCGATGATTCTACCAACAACATCAAGCAGCAACAGAGGGGCCGTCGGCTGTCGGAAATGATAGCTCAGTCTTGTCATCAAAACCAACGCCGATGACTCTACCAACAACATCAAGCAGCAACAGAGGTGCCGTCGGCTGCCGGAAATAGTAGCTCAGTCTTGTCATCAAAACTAACGCCGATGACTCTACCAACAGGCAGCAACATCAAGCAGCAACAAGGGGCCGTTAGCTGCGGGTAGTGCCCATCGTTTTCAATGATTTCCGGTGTCGATTCGCCCTTGATCTTGCTCTGCATGTAGCGAGCGACGGATATCGGAATTACAGAGTCGTGCGAAGTCTGAACGATGGTGCATGGGACCTGAACCCACTCCAGCACATCTCGTACATCGCTCAAGAAGATGGTTTTAGCCAATGAAAGCGCAATTTCTGGCCTCATTCTTCCCAAACATTTCTCATACTTCTCCAAGGCCAGAGGGTGTTCTTCATCTATGAGAAGACGGGCGGATTTTGGAACCCAAGAGCTGAAGTTGGACTCTATGGTCATGAACATTTGCTCAACAACTGATCTCTCGAATCCTCCTTCATAGTCTTGTGCATTCAAGTAACTAATATCAACACAAATAGAAAAAAAAAACTTAATCTGAGAGAGAGAGTGAGCGAGAGGATATTTACCTGGGAGAAGCTCCAAGAAGTATTAACCTCTTGAATAGATCGGGTCTTTTAGTGGACGCAACACATCCTATCATACCTGACACAGAGTGCCCAATAAATACAAAGGAGCTCAAGTTCAGCTCCTGTATCTGAGCAATGAGATCGTTGGCAAAAGCATCAAATGAAGAATATCTATCAGGGTCGAAGAGGTTGAGATGGGCCACGGCGCCTGAAAAAGCACCAGTCGAAGACTAAGACACAGCAACGTTGAGCTAGGTATGGAAGGATTCTGTTCCATACAGACTGATCTCCTCCATACCCATGTGCAAGAATGACAGTTTCTTTGCCAGAACCCATGATTCTTGCGTTCATGGCGGCAAAGACGGTCATCTTGTCAAGAAAAAGATGAAGAAGAGGAGGAGGAGGAAGAAGAGAACGCATCAACTTGATTTCGTGCCGCCTCCAGTGGCTTCTGTGTTCAGTGAGATTGTCGGTCGCAGGTGGATGCTTCTGGGCTAGGGGTTGGCGGAGGAAAGTATGGGAAGAAGAATAGTGTAAGGTGCGTTTGACGTTTTTGTCTTTTTGTGTCCGGTTCAACCGGATTCTTTAACTAACGGATAAACGTCCGTTGAACTAGTAAATTTTAAACACGCTGATGTAGGCGTTTGTGATTGGCGGGTTCACGTGTCCAGTGCACAGAAAGCGGTCTCTGTCCGGATCGTCTGTCCCCAGGGGACAGAAAACTCTGTCCCTGCCAATAAGGAGTATCCACGGCACCACTTCATTCCAAATTCAAAATTAACATAGTCAAGTACTTAACGGCAATCGCAACTCAAAAGTAAAAAATTATCAAATTTTGTTAACCCGCTTAAATTTGAAACTCAAAAAATACATCTCCTTCCTCAACCACGGTACATTCGTCTGCTGCAACAGCCGGCTCTCAAGTCTCAATTGCCGTTCATTCCCCATCTCAAGCCGCCCCCCTCTCTCTGTTCCTCTTTTTTCCTTCATTCCCCTCCCCCACTCTCTCTCTCCAGAAACTTTGTTTCTTTATTCTTCCCTCTCGTCTCTCGTCCCCGGCATTTCAAACATGCTTTAGTCGTAGGGCTGCTTCCTTCGAGTTGAATCGTAATTGAACAAAGCAGTTTGAGGTCCCACGAGCTTTTTCTAGAAGTTTATTCTCAGAACAAATGAGTTGTCTACTCCGACCAAAGTCTTTGGCGGTGGTTCTGTTTTTGGTTTTTTTATATCCCTCACTCGGCCTTCTACCCTGTGCAACTCTCTCCCACAATGAACCACCTACTCCAGAGCACAACTGAGTGCTGTTGGCGATGCATGTGAAAACAAATTACAAAACAAGTGGTATCTACCCCAAGTTCAATCGCGAATGGCGGCCTTTCTCTACAGAAAAACGACATGGCTTGATGTAGGAAACCAGCAAAATTGATCCAGTTGAGTGGTAATCAAGTTAACTTATCAGAGTAAAGGGATGAATTTGAAACAGTCAATTACTCGGCAAGTTTTAACTAGTTTTCTTCCAAGTTTTTTTCACTGGAGTCAAAAACATAACTATCTTTAATTAACTCGTTTTAAGCAATAATTGTTAGTCCCTCATCATTCTAACAGCAGACTGATAGAGGGCAGATAAAACACTTGACTGACACTCGGACACTAAGCCAAAGAATACAGATTTGAACCAACTTGACTGTAAATGTGCCTCTCGAAAGTATTACTTGCAATAGCCTTTGTAAATGAGTCAGCTAGCATACCTTTTGTAGGCACATAGTCTACCTGGATTTCCTTCTTTTCGTAGATATCAAATAGATATTTGTACTGAAGTTCTATATGTCTTCCCTTGGGGCCTATTTCGCCATTCTTTGTCGTCTGAATTGCAGCTCCATTGTCATTGTATATTTGAGCCGGATCGCTTTGCAACTCTCTTATCTTGAAGTCTTCTAGAAACCTGTTTATCCATACAGCTTCTGAGGCTACTGTACTGCAAGCTATGAATTCAGCTTCCATTGTGAATTTTGCAACACATCATTGCTTTCTGCTGGCCAATGAAACAACTCCTCCTCCAAAAAGGAAGACATACCCAGTAGTTGACTTTCTATCGTCAACATCCCCTGCAAAATCAGCATCACAATATCATAATATTTTTAAGCTATCACAACAATATGTTAGCAACATTTAGTTCCTTTGAGATATCTAAAAGTTCTCTTTACTACTTGCAAATGAGGCTTTCCTGGATTGCTTTGATCATGGTTTTTAAAAACGAACCGATGACCGAACCGGTCAGGAGTCCGATTACCGGTTCAAACGGTCGGCTCATTCTAACAAAAAAAATTTAAAAATTTAAAAAAATTAAAAATTTGGAAAACGGCCAAAACTGTTCGAACGCTTAACCAGCCGGTTCCGCGGTTTGCTGACCAAAATCAACGATTTTGGGGGAAAAAGCGGTTTTGAAGGAAAACGGAACCAGTCAGGTGACCGGTTCCCGGTTTTTCTGGTCCAGTCCGGTTTTGAAAACGGTGGCTTTGATATCTACTAACTAAGCTAATGACAAACTTAAATCAGGCCTAGTGCACAACATGGTGTACATTAGGCTGCCCACTGCTTGAGCATAAGGTTTCTTAGCCATTTCATCTTTTTCTTGTTTAGTCATTGGACACATATCTTTGGTCAATTTTGTGGACTGAATTATTGGTGTGTCAATAGGATTACACTCATCCATTCTAAATCTTTTAAGAATAGTATCTATATATTTTTCTTGAGATAGTGAAAGTGTTCTATTTTTTCTATCTCTTTCTATTTTTATCCCAAGAACAAATGAGGCATCTCCTAAATCTTTCATTTCAAATTGGGATTTTAGCCAGTCTTTTGTTTTTTCTATCATTTCCAACAATTAGGATATCGTCTACATAAAGAGATAGCAATATAATGGAACTCCCACTATTCAAGACATATATACAGTGATCAAAAATATTTGGAACAAAACCAAGTTTTATAATGGCATTGTGAAAAGTGTAATACCACATACGAGGAGATTGTTTTAATCCATATAAAGATCATTTTAGCTTATACACTTTTCTTTCTTCCCCTTTTACAATATACCCTTCTGGTTGTTGCATATATATGTCTTCATTGAGTTCTCCATTTAAAAATGCATTTTTTACATCCATTTGAAATAGTTCCCAATCAAAATAGGCTACCATAGCAAGTATTATTCTAATAGATGTAAATCTAGCAACTGGGGAATAAGTTTCTTCAAAATCAATTCCTTCTTTTTGTGTGTAGCCTTTTGCTACCAATCTTGCTTTATATTTATCTATTGACCCATTGGGTTTTAACTTTCTTTTAAGTATCCATTTGCACCCTATAACTTTCTTATCCTTGGGTTGTTCTACTAAGTCCCAAACTTGATTCCTAACCATCGAGTCAAACTCTTCGTCCATGGCTATTTTCCAATTTGCATGATCAGCAAAGGCCATTGCCTTTGTAAAATTTAATGGATGAACTTCACAATCTGTTATATAGTCATTTTGAAATGAGTAGAAGTCTTTGTATCTAGAAGATGGAACTCTTTGTCTTTGTATTCTAGTTATTATGTCCAAATTAGGAGGTTCAAAGTCAATAGGACTTTCAACAACCTTTTCTTTTTCTATCTCAAAAAGGTCAACCAACTTCTTAGGATCGTTAGGGTCAACTTTATCTTCTAAAAATTCAGCATCCCTACTTTCAACTAATTCAAGAGAACCATTAGATTTGTGTCTCACAAATCTATAACCTTTTGATGTTTCAGAATACCCAATAAATGTTGCTCTGAAGCTTTTAGGATCCAATTTGTTTCTAAGTTGGTTAGGTACCCAAACATAGGGAGTAGATCCCCATATTTTTAGATTTGTAAGATCAAGTTTTCTACCTGTCCAGAATTCATAGGGAATTAGTTTATTAATCTTTGTAGGGACTCTATTTAATATGTAAACTGCGGTAGATAAAGCTTCCCCCCAAAATTGGTTTCCTAAGTTCGAATGACTTAGCATAGATCTAGGCATGTCCAAGAGGGTCCTATTTCTTCTTTCAGCCACCCCATTTTGTTGGGGTTGTGTAAGAAATAGTTAATTGGTGTATAATTCCATTTTCTAAACAAAAACTATCAAATAGTTCGGAAATGTATTCTCCACCCCTATCACTCCTAAGTATTTTTATTTTTTTTCCTGTTTGGTTTTCAACTAAGGTTTTGAATTCCTTGAATTTATCTAGAACATAAGATTTTTTATTTAATAAATAAATAAAGTCAAATCTTAAAAAGTCATCTATAAAAGTCACAAAGTACTCCATCTTCCTATGGGTTTTCACATTAAGTGGTCCACAAACATCTGAATGAATGATTTCTAGGAATTCCTTAGATTTCTTAGCCTTTCCAAATGGTTTTCTATGCATTTTTCCTTGCAAGCAAGGTTCACAAATTTTAAAATCTGTCCATTTGAGGTAACATACTATTGTCACACATCCTTTTTAATTTGTCTCTATTTATGCGTCCGAGCCTCAAATGCCATTTGTAAGAGTCTAAACAAACAAACAAAGCACAATCAACATAAGTAGAAGCAGTAGAAATCTTATTATTAATAGAAAGTTGGTACAAACCATCTTCTCTCACCCCCATAACAGAATTCTCCCATGTTTTCCTATAGATACCTTCCCACTCCTAAAGCAGTGAGCTAATGCACAACACCTGCTTTGTTTGTCACTCAGAGAAAGTAGTAGAAATCACCAAAGTGTCAAGTTCGACTGTGACTTTTACCATAACAGGAAAAAATGACAAGAAAAAAGAGAGTGGGAAAAGGAGAAGAGGCCGGCCTCTCGGGGCTTCCGTTTTCAAGTGGGAAATGTAGGCCGTCCCTTAAAATATTCAAAGATGAAAAGAAATATCAAGAAACGAGAAAATACTATGAATTATTCTCTTCCAGCAGTTGTAGGTGGGAAGAAGAATGAAGTTTGAGAGAGAGGGTCGCGTCGAGCAGTTGAAAGCAGCCTCCATCGGTTGGTAGCAGTGGTCTCTGGTGGTCGATAGCAAGGGCGGAACCAGAGGTGACCGGGGAAAGAGAGAGAGAGAGAGAGAGGTTTGAGATGGAATGAATCTGGACGGGCAAGGCAAGAAATTAAAAGTTTAGAACAACCAACAAACGAGATTTAAGTTCTTTTGACTTTAAAGCCTGGACTCCGTTAACTCTTGGCTTCAAGCGAATGAAGGACGTGTTCAAATTATATTGGTTGGAACAGAAAATTTTCCGTCCCCTGCGGACAGACGATCCAGACTAATATTAAGGGATAGGTGTTAAAAAAAAATTTAAGTGCTCATCAAACATTTAACATTCCTACAATTGTGCCTACCTGATCTGGTCTGTGAATGAACAGCTTGGCTTTGGAACGAATTAATAATAAAAAATACGGAGAAGTATGCAGAATTCTGAATTCCATCCCCCTAACTCTCTCCCCCTTCCCCCTATAAACCACATCCTGCCTGTGAATTTGGCATCAATTGGCGATCAGGATGCATTCCCCTTATACTTTGAGGCTATAAAAATCTGACCTGGGCTAATTGGTCATTCTCCCAATGTTCCTCGGCAGTAATAAAATGCATGGGATTTCCACTTTTTAACAGTGGGACCCATGAATTTG